ACTTACACTTCAAATTTGCACGGCCATTCTAGCTTTGCTAAGTCAAGCCTTTTTAATTCTGCTAATAAGCCCGGAAATCAACTTGGTCTCATCTAGACCATCAACAAGGAAAAATAATTTGCTACACCTCTAGAAAATTAAATACATTTCAAGTTCGTGAACAAAGCTAATTAAGATCACAAGAATTAAAAGAAACAATAATTCTAAATCCCTTTTTTAATCTAAAAAAGAGACACTTACAAGCTTATCACATACTCCGTGCTCAACAAAACATTGTCCATGATTAGGAAAAATAACAATTTAAAAACACTATCATAAGATAGAACTCATGTCATCCCTAATCTACTAGGACAAAACACATTAAAGTCCATGAACATAAATAGAATACCATTGGACAAAATATACATTAGCAGAAATAAATTACTTGCAAAACAACAAGCAAATAGCCACAGATAAACATCTTTTACGGAGACCTTTCTCCTCAATGCCACTCCTTTACAAGAGTAAAACCAACATACTAGTCAGTTACAAGATCTAACTCACCTCACCCCCACATAGCATTGCATTAGCTCATAATAATAAAATTATGCACACTTGGGGCACATAATAAACAATATTATGCAGAGTTAAAAAATTAATTACATAAACTGAGGAGGACTTATCTGATTTTGTGCATGTACCAAAGCTATTGACGAGCCTCGCTAGATGATTATATTCTGAAACATCTAGCAGCAACATCTTTAATGTCGCAATACCCACAGACGTATGGAGTCGGCTAACTCCAGCTTCGGCTCAAACAAACTTGAAATTAATCCACTTGATGCAGGAACATCAACTATTATATTTCATGAATTTACAATCACGAGACCATGCGACACAGTTGACTTTTCAATAATTTCATTATTTATCATCAACACAAGCACTACCGCTCCTCTTTGATTCACAAACTCACTTGAGTGCCATTAAACTATAATTTAACCAATAAATTAAATCCACCAACTTAATGGAAATTTTGCCTTATTAGGCATATATTCTTGAAGCTTAATTCAACTCCAATATCAAAAACAATTTGACGGCATATCTCCTATTCAGAGAGTTGATTGATAAAAACTCCATGATTAACCGACTTAAATACCAAGAATGATTCTTGATTGAATCGATCAAAAAATACTGCACCCAAAATTAATCTTGATACTCGCTAAGTTGAGTACAAAAAAAAAACCGTAAATCCAAAAGAGTTCCTAAAAAAAGATTATTCTTTTTCGAGTAGTACACGATGATTAATATCTCAATCTCCAAAACAATATTTTTCCCAAATTCAAGAAATCAACAGTATAGAAATTTAATATATTTCGCTTCTAAATTGTTGGTAAAATACCTGTTGATTCCAATAACAAAATAGAGAAGATGAAAGGGAAAATACTTGATTGAAGATCTCAAACTCACAGTCGCGCCGTGGAACAAAATCCACTGCCTTAGAAGCGAAATACGCCACCACCGGTACAGGTTTCCCGATGACGCACGCCCCCCAAGTTTAACGCAACTCTCTTCGTAATCCGTGCACCCGAACTCGAAGAGTGGAATTGCTCAAGAACTGTTCAGATCTCAAAAGGTAGGTTTGTGTTTTCAGCTAGAAAGTGAATAAATCTCATGAAAAGGTAAGACTCGTATTTATATGATTCCTGGAAAAAGGAAACACGTAAACAAACCGACCTAGGAAAAAGGCGAGCCCGATCGGGCGAGCTACCGCCCGATCGGGCGCGAGATCAAGTTTTTCCAGACGTAGTGTCGCGCCCGGTCGGGCAGACACCGCCCGGTCGGGCGATCTGAAATCCCCATTCCGGGCGAGCCATCGGGCGAAACCGCCCGATCGGGCTCGTCAAAACTTGAGTCCGCCGCCCGGTCGGGCGAAGCTCGCCCGATCGGGCGCGAGAGATCTCTATTTTTCCTTGACCACCTCCACCCGATCGGGCGCGAGTCATCCGTTTGCATTACTATTTCCAACACCAAAAACATATATAAGGTTGTATGACATATATAGTATGAATAGTGTGAACTTAGTTCTTGTGGAAAAAGCAATATTTCCAATGTGATATGCTTTTCAAATCTAAAATAAAAAGAGTATGCATGTGCACTCATAAGGATTAGTAGCTTAAAGTGGAATATCAGTACTAGAAATAGAGTAAGGCAAAAATTAAAGAAAGGAAAAAAAACAAGGGAAGCATGATCTACCAATTACATTTATTCAACTAAATGAAACTACGTAGTTCCTCTTTAAAAAAAAGGGGAAATTACCTAAATTAGGGGATGTTTGTATTATGAGAATAATATAGGGTTGAGATTGGAGATTATTACATCAAGGGCATGGGATCAACATCCCAAAATAGGATAAAATATGGACGTGAATGGGTAATGAAATGGACGGCCAAATATAAAATAAATTCTTTTTTCGAAGTTTTTATATAATTAGTTTTATGAATATATATATTTATAGAGTATATATTTACCTCATCTGTCAAAAATAAATTATCTTATTAATAGTATAATATGAACTAGCAATTAAATTTTTAATATATATGAGCGAAGAAAAAAATAGCTTTTTTTTTTTGAAGAAAAAGAAAAGAAAAAAAAAATAACTTAGGTATTACTTCGTATATGTTTTTTAACATGGCTCTATTAATAAGCTCAATGGAAATAGAAAAACTTTGTGGTACTTGTTTATATTAAATATCACCATTTTAACGAAGATTATTAGGCAAAAACGTCGTTGTGATATTAAAATTATTTTATTCTCTTTAATCACACTATTTTTTTCTTAGAAAGTGATGACTCTAATCCTAATTTAGTCCTATTAAAGTTGTCTTGACTCAAGTCTATATCGTGACATCGGTACCAAAGAAATTTTGTTTCTCTTCTCTTTTGTTGACAACTAAACAAGAAAAAGGCAAACACAAGTATCATTTCTTTGATTTTTTTAAAAATTGGTGTTTATATATTATGCATTTTAATTAGTTAAGTGAGTGAAAAATAAAATACTTAAATATTTAATTCCTAACGAGCATTGTTGTAGTCTTGTAGATATGTTGGAGTATTTCCAATAATAATGTTATGTGTGGGAGGTTATCCCGAATAGAAAGAATAAGAAGGTGATGTATTGTTTATATTGAAAATAATTGGATATGAGTTATGAAATGGGTCTTAGTGGTGGTTTGCACAAGTGGGCTAAGTGACTTATATATATATTTGTAATCAAAGAATTATCACTTTGGCCACTTGACACGGACACTGAAAATAAAAACCCTTATACGATAATTTATTTTTATCATTTTAGAAAAGTGTTTTTTGTACACGCCTAGATCCATTATTTGTTTTTTGTTGTTCCAATTATTTTCCACCAACAGATCGATCAGACTGAAAAGAAAACTTAATACATACGTATATTGGGGCTAAAATTTAGCTACCTAACATTTAGGTAAATGACAATTTATCGTAGGAATAATGCATAAATGCCATTGAGATCTTGTTATTTCATTTTTAAAAAGTAAACAAGCAAAGGGTGAGTATGAATGAAGAAAAGCTAATTTGTTTAATTTGCTCTATTTACTCCTATCAAGTGCCTAATTAGTCAATTATAGCAACTATACGGGTACTCATGTTCTCATTATATTTAAAATGCGATGAAAAAAAAGAAGATTTATTTAAGCAAAAGAAATATAATAGCCAATTAAACACTAAAATTGCTTGAATCTTTAACAAGAACAAGTATAAGACTCACAACTCACAAAAAGGTACTTCCTTCGTTTTTTTTAATGCCCCATAATGACATTTTATGCATGTCGATGTAAAACTTAAACCAATAAATCAATAATATATTTAATGATCATCAATTATATATAAATTACGTATAAGAATTGAACATTAATAATTTAATCATTGAGACGATTCCAATAGGTACCCACAATACTTTTTTTTCTTAAGTAAAAATTCACAAATATTGGTTTAAATATGTTTAATGAATAGTTCCAAAAAAAAAATGGAGGGATTAGTAATTAAAATGCAAGTTTTGGGGGGAAAAAACGGAAAAGGGCAATCTAAGATTCATAGGCTATCCCTAAATAAACTAAAAAAAGAAAGGAAGCAGAAAATGCGCATAAACCCACTTTAAGAAATTGGTTAAATATTATTCTAAGAACAACTTGCTGAAATGCTAAAGTTTCTAGTTCCATTAACATTTCCTAATTTGGGTTGATCTTTAAATTCCAAGAATATATTTTAACCAAGTTTAGAAACTCCACTTGTAATACTCTTTCCTCTTCAACAAGTGGGATTATAAAATAATCATATTAATAGTTATTAGTTTATTACTTTATTAGGATGATTTTCTTTTTGTGGGTGAGAATTCATAGCAACACACTTACACACTCATTTCTAGTTAAATAGGTACTAGCTAGGGTTATTATATAAGGGGGAAAAATTATAGGAGTATAGGATCCTCCAACAAAGATGAAAGAATTGGACATATGTATCTTAATTGAGAGAATATCCACTCTTACTCTAATATTCCAAAACTACACCATAGTAAAGCATTATGCTATCCAAAATTACTAGTGCCAAACTTATAACTTGGACGGTGAACATCTTAGTCGAGAAGATGGTGGTGGATCGTGATGGTACGTGTTTCATATAGTCTGCATGACTTGAAGCTAATTGTAAGGTTGTCTCCAGTCATTTTAATGTGTTACATGTGAATGTGTGTCCTGATGCGTTAATTCAGACGTTTCTATCATGAAGTTTCACAAACATGAGTTCTTCGTAATTGCTTTGTTATTATAACTAGAAGTTATTGCTGATTTTCTCTCCTTGTTGCTTGTAGCTCACATCATTAGAACCTTCTATCTGGGTAAGGAAAGAACTGGAATTGCCTTCCATGTCTCCGCACAAGAACCTTAAAGAGGTCAAGTTGTTAGAATTAATGTTGTACTCACCTACAAGTACGACACTTCAATATAAATCACGCGATTACTATACAGGGAATAACAGTTACATAAGCTAAATTAGCTCACGACAACTCTCTCTTCTTGGAGGAAAACAGATTATTACAATGACAATTTTTCAAAACAAAAATAACAAACCACATCAAAGCTTTATTAACATAGAAAACACCTCACTTACATAGGCTACGAGGCTCTGAATTGAGGCTTCACTTATTTCATAACTCTCAACTTTTTGTAACAAGAATTATACACATCTAATGTTACAATGATTGGTATAGCAATATAACCTAATGACTATGTTAGGTTGTATATAAATAGGTATAGAGGATCATAGCTTGTCACCAGCTAAAGGATGTGACGCTATGTTAGCCGGCTCCTCATTCTTTCTGCAGATATATATGAAGTGACAATCTGGATCTTGCAAGACAAAATCAGGTGGAATCAGGCCATCCTCAGACAGAGGGATAGGCTCCAAGCATGATTTGATGGAAGCAACAGCTGAGCCTTCAAACCCAGGTCTTGCTGTAGAATCAAAATAAATTCAAACTACTTTAAACATGGATCAATAAAGGCTTAATTGCAGGGAAAAGGTAAAGAGCAATTAAGCTCAAAGAAGTCATTAAGCAATTAGGAGACATTATACATCATGAATTTATGACAAATAGGTCTTCATCTATTTTTGAGGAACAACCAACAGCAGCAAGCACACTATCATAAAGATACTGGATGCCTAGGTTTAACAACTATTTGAGATCTTTTATTATCGGATTTTCTAGTCCTTTTAGTCATCTCTTAAAGTTGGGTCTTCTAATCCTTTAAGTAATTTAGGTCAGCAAAACAAAAACAAAAACAAAAACAAAAAATGGAAAAAAGAAATGGCATGCCATGCCAAAAAGAATGTCCCTAAAGCACACGCGCATACTTTTGTACAACGTGGATACATGTAGTTTTGTCAAGGATTTCTGCTACTTGTGAAGGATCATATTAATGTCTAAAACAAATAAGAGAAGGGGATGAGACCATTATGGCATGGCAGGTGAAGGATTTGAGTAATGCAGCACCAAACACCATCATAGTCAACTACTTTCTTTACTTTTCCCTAAGCAACTCTCCTATGCTCCCAAAGTCAATACAGATATGAGGTCGGATGTCTCCAACCAACTAGCACCAAAAAGGCCACGTTTTCACCTAGTGTCAGGCATATCTAGCATGACGGAGTTACTGAATAAAGCATAAACAATTTACGGACAAAATTTCGAGTACTCAAATGAAAAGTCTCCAAAGTGAGCAATTCAAAATTTTGCCATAGGCATCATAGACCAAAGCCAATATTGATCAGTGCTATCCTGCATAAATAGACTCAATACCTCATCATAGCACAATATCACACAATATCAGTGTGGAACAGCAAGAGGGATGGAGCACAATATGTGTACAGATCACCCTCACACGTCACCCTAACCAGACAGGATATAATACCTCATTAATATGCAAAACCTTCTAGCCAAAGTCACCATATAACTAAGCATATGCTTGATTTTCTGGAGAGTAAAACCTCATGCAATGCAACACGGTTTGCATATATTGCCTATAAATAAATGATGTTGAGGATGATAATAGCACTTACATAACTTATCAGATCATCAAAAGTCCATCTATTATTTCAAACCAGTCTAAATAACATACTAGGACAGAACTAAAGATACGAAAATAGGAATATAATTAGATAGTAGTAATTCTAGTAAGGCCCTTAGCCCTAGCAACCAAAGGTCTCTAATACACATTCCAGGTAGGTGTTATAATCAGCCTACGGTGCTATATTCCTTTTAGGATGAAATATTCTCCAGCTCCAGTGAGTGGCTTAAGAAGTTAAGACTAAAGAGCATTTGAAAAATATGATTCAGAATGATCTCAAGATCTCTTGTCCTGGCAACTCACCAACTACTAATAATCTATCTACAAAAAACAGCATACATCAATAGACTGCGAACTGAACAGTTAGCGTCAACAACATTCCAGTGTCCTCATAGGGGAAGGGGGGTAAGGGGGGCAGAACTGGGTGCCATGGATACCCTTGGTTCCTTTCCAAGAGCTAAGGACAATGATTTGATATCACCATAAATACGGAGGCCGTGTATAATAGCTTCTATATTATCCACATTTGAACTAGCTTCATTATTATGCACAACATCCCAGTTCACGTGTTTACAATGTACATAATGATGATGTTGATCAAAGCAACCCGAGCTAATTTGTCAAAGAGACTGATCATGCTGTGGTGGTTCTTTGGTACACAAAAAGCTGCCGTACACAGCTCGCACTGCTTATAGGGAGTGGGGGGGTGATAATTCATGGAATAGCCAGGTGGGGCTTTTAAATCTCCTAAGGCAAGGACCTAGGGTCAATTCTCAGTACTCATTACAAATAAGGTAGGAGTTAGAGCACCAACTTTCCAAGGGCATAACACGCCATTGGTATCCCCTAGCCCCATAAAACTGTCCTCTGGTTTACTTTACTTTCTCCCATTTTATTGCCCACTATCTACCAAATGCACATTCAAGCAATCACAATTCACTAGTCCTATGCTAACACACTATTGGTTATACTGAGAATCCAACTCATTATTTACACTCTTTAATATCAGTAAAAAGTCAGCAGGACAATTTTGGTGGAACTAAGTTAGTACTTAAATGTTTGAATTCAGCATTGAGCCTACATAAAACAATGTCAAACTTAAAACACATCAAGGAGGTACAGAACAACAACCTCTATTGCTAAATCATAAACAAGTGGCAGCATCAGGTTCTATGGCTAAATCATTTCATCCTATTAGGCTCATTAGCTAATAACAGACAAAAAGGGCTCTCAATTCTTATCTTACTTAAAACTTCTAAGCGCTGAATTACTACAATAATACTACAACTAAAGTGAAATCAAGCTAGAAAAAAGAAAAAATAAATTATCTGAAACTATGGAAAACACATCTCAATTGTTCTCAAAACATTGACCAAAAGAAATTCGGCAGCATAGCTTGAACACTAACAAAAAAGAGAGTTGATGTTACAAGTAAAAACTTACGTATAATGTACAGTTCAATTTTCCAATTGTACACTGATCGGTTTATATAAGGCATCCTCACATGTGGATCACCATACGTAATCTGCAAAAGGGAAAAACGAAAATGGATTATCTGTCTAGAAATTGATATGCTTTCAGCAAAAGCCAAGTGCAAGACATGGACAAAGATAACAGAGTATATGGTTACCAACATATATACTCCTCCAGGCTTAAGTAGCCTGCAAGAAAACATTATCCTCTAATCAAGGAAATTTAGGACATAAAAGTTTGAATGAAAATAAAAAAGACTAAATATTGGCAACTTAAAGTAACGATCTCAAACCTGCTGACTTCACCCAACATCCGAGAAGCACTTATTATAGCTTCAGTACCGCACTTCAAAAAAAAAGGTCAAAATTAAAAAATGAATGATTAAAACAATAAATAATCACGCCTTTAAGTAGTTGAAGCAAGGAGTTTCTCACCATCAAAGAATCAAGAGTTCCTATTTTGCCGACAGTAACATATAAGATGGAGGAAAAAAAACATTGTTAATGCTACAGTACTTCAGTAGAGAACACAACCATGAATTCAATACGTTCACATATGATAAAAATTACCTTTATCAATAACACTGCCAAATGAATCATCTTGGAAAAAACTCATATCTCTAACATCCATCTGCATATCTATAAGACCAGATAAGGAAGCTATTCTGTAGAACTTACAATTGTGAACTTAATGGAGATGAATAGATGATATTGCAGGATATTAAATAATCTCTTAGCAAAAGTACAGAACAGTTGACATAATAAAATAGTCCAAAGTAAATAACAAAAAAAAAAAAGGCTGCAAGAATACATTTCAGTTGAGGTATGTGTGCATGCTTCCCTCTCATCATGTCAATGGCAACCGTAGAAATGTCAACGTTCATAATCTCCTCATACCCATCTTTCACCATATCCTCTGATATGACTAAAAAAAAAGATTGAAAAACTAGAATCAGCAACTTTGGTCATGAGGAGCAAAATTTAATTTTACAGAAATTAAATGTTGATCTTTAAGTAGCTAATAGGCTTTATTTTTATATAAGGATATGTTCAATAGAAAATCAAAGAACTGGATAAAATTGGAAGAATAGCTCCTCCTTGTGAAAACATTGAATAATAAGAAACAGTTAACACTTTGAGAATATGTCACCAACACAGGGAGTCAATGGATAAACAAACTTCCATTAGCTTACTATCCACTAACTTCAGTGACTTGTCAACCCAGGAACTCTAACACATAGAGCACAAACAGTAAATACCATTAAGCATATAAAATTGACCAAAGTTTCGTAGTCAAACATAACATGGTAAAAGCATGTAAGATGATATAAGTCCGACATCCTAGCGTAGCATGCCTACTAGCCTTCAAGTAAAAGCTATTCCACAAGTGAATCGACTGAAGTCTTTCATATATAAGTATATAACATACTATGGCCATAAATCTTCCTCTAAGGAACAACTTAGAGAAATCACACCTTCCCAAACAAAGCTGCCTTCATTGAAGTATTTCAGTGCAGCAAAGTCCATACTAAACCTTAAGATAAGATTATAAGAACTATAGATGGTACCGATTGCTAAAAAATCGATGCAAAAATTAAGCCATACCATCTCCCCTCACCCACATAGACAATTAAATACCAGACAGCATACCGGTGCAAATAATTCCCAGATTCACCAACTCACAAGTATTTGACTTTAATGCCCTAAGTAACCTCAAGATCCATTACTTCACAGTTCATACTACGCATCTCACCAAGTCAACTCCGATCACAATTATGCAAAAGAAACCCTATACTAAACACAAGATAAGACATGATTTACATTAATCTTGTAATTTCGGGTACTGTATCAATCCTGAATTAAATTGCTAGAGTAGCCAAGTCCAATCACTCCTTGAATTAATCATCAAAAGTATCCATTCCATAAAATTCCAAGTCAAATCTATGCCACCATTCTACCTCACTCAAAAGTCAAACTGACATAAGAACCAGCATTATAGCAGCCTAAACATTAATCTAACCAAACATTATAAAAGAATACAATATATTCACCAGAAATCCACCCATATACAATTGGCTATCAATCAAATAATTTCAAATTTCTAATAAAGCTGTAATTTTTTTCAGTTAAAAGCATTTCTTGTTGCATTAATGACAATCAGTCAATCACCACTAATACAAAACAAAATCAAACAGTTCAAAACACTCGATTTCAACATTAAAAACCCAAAATCATTATCCAAACCATCAAAACAAAAAACCCCAGAATTCCTTAATAAGTTTATCCAGCTTAAATCGACAAAATCACAAATAAAATTTTTTTAAAAAAAATTACCAGCATTTCCACAACCAACCATGAGAACACGAGAAGAAGTGGGGACAAATCTGCGAACAAAAGGACGAAGAGCAGAGTAACGTTGATACCAATCAAAGGAGCCGGATTCTTGAATGTAACGAGCATCCCAATACAGGGAATTGCCATAGTCGTAAGTGTTACAGCTTGAAACGTCTCTGAACATGGTGGTATTGTTATAGTTATTCATAGAAGAAGAAGAAGAAGAAGAAGAAGAAGACGAATAGGGAGGAGAGAGAAATGGTGTGTTGTGTTGGTCAATCCCAATATTTGGTGGCAGGGGATCTGGGTAATGGGTACTGTACTACAGTGTAATGTGTGGCCAACTGGAATTTTTTAGGGATTTTTTTTATTGAAATTGATTGGCTTTGGTTTGGGTAGAAATGTTTAACACCATATAATTGCAATTACTTTGGGGCTGTTTGGTTGAGTTAAGCCTCTTAGAGCATTGCTATTAATGGGCATTTTTTTTGTTGCCCAATCTTTCTCTAACCACTTTCTCACTCCTCCTCCCCATGTGCATTTTCTTGGTCATTTTTTTTCTACACCAATGGTCAAAAATTATAATCCCCACCATTCTCTCTCCTATTTTTAACCCTATACCCCACCAATATTTATCTCTCCTACCCATCATTAAATTTGTAATTTAGTATTTCTTAATTTTATTGTTAACAAAATTTTGTATTCATTAAATTATTTAATTATTTTTATTATTAATTTATGCAAAATGTATTTTTTAATAAAAAAATAATATTTATTCTTTAAGTAATACTTATTCGATCTGTAAAAAAAATATAATAAAAATAAATAAATAAATCATTTTAACTAAATTTTTTTATTGATTAAATTATGTATGAGTACAATATTAATTATTTTTATAATTATTTTATGCGAAATTTCATTTTTCATTAGTACAACATTAACGATTACAACATTGGAACATAATGATCGTACACCTATCATACAAACCAAATAAATTAACGATTACAAAACTATTTATTCATTTGTACGACCGTATTTTTGCCAAATATGCTCAACTAAATCATCTTTCAAAGAAAAATGGGTTTGGCTATCACGCAGGGTAATTCTTCTTTGAATATACCCGTCAAAATCAACGTTTGGTGGTCGGCCAACGTCAAATTTGAAAGGCTCGTTGTTATTCACTGTGGCACTTGTACTCGGACCGGACCTTGCTCTATGAAGCTGAGGGCGATCTTCTTCATAATACCTTCTCAAAACTTCGGCACGAGTGTAATTGTGCCGTTCATCCTCTACAATGATGTTGTGCATAATGATACAAGCTATCATTATGTCGCTCAAAATGTCTTCGTCGAAAGCAAGTGAGGGTTGTCGTAATATGGCAAACATAGCCTGTAGAACTCCAAACGCACGTTCAACGTCTTTCCGAGCTGCAGCTTGTTTATCTGCAAATAACTTGTCCTTCTGGTGTTGAGGATATGTGATACCTTGTATAAAAGTTGCCCAGTTCGGATATATACCATTTGTTAAGTAGTATCCCATGTTGTACTCATGGCCATTTACCATAAAACTAATTGGTGGTGCCCGACCTTTCAAAACATCGTCAAACACCGGAGAGCGGTATAGGACGTTAAGATCATTACAAGAGCCGGGTATTCCAAATAATGCATGCCAAATCCATAAATCTTGATCCGCAACAGCTTCGAGGATAAGGGTTGCGTTCTTGCTACGACCTGCGTATTGTGCTTTCCAAGCCATAGGACAGTTCTTCCACTCCCAGTGCATGCAGTCGATGCTACCGATCATGCCCGGGAATCCACGCATTTCATTTTGGTGAAGGATTCTCCTTAAATCTTCATCTGTTGGACTTCTTAAGTACTCGGCCTCAAAATGCTTGATCACCCCTTGAGTAAAATGTTGCATTGATTTTCTAGATGTTGTTTGACCCATGCGTATGTATTCATCTACGGCATCCGGAGCAACACCGTACGCTAACATTCTTATTGCAGCGGTGCATTTCTGCAGAGGTGATAAGCCAAGCCTACCAGCTGCATTCCTACGCTGCTCGAAGAACGGATCGCCCTCAACCACTTTATTCATAATCCGACAGAATAAAGGTTTGTGCATTCAAAATCGACGACGAAACTGATTTTCGGAATACACAGAATTTATTGCGGAGTAATCATTGTACAATTGCAAATGCCCTTTATCCCTTTCTCTATTTCCCCTACGCTGCGGGACAGTTTCATCTTCATTTACAATTTTGATCTCGGATGGAGGTGGTTGAGGAAGCATTATGTTAGGTAAGTGATTTGTGACAAATTCGTCAACTAGATTATCAAATTCCGCATATTGATCTGAATCAGAAGAATTTGAGCTTGAGGTTGAGCTTATGGAAAACATTTTCTGTGTTTGGTTTTTGAATGTTTTGGTGTTGTGATCAATTTATGGATTTCACACCTTTAAATAGGAAAGCTTTTCAGTGCATGTCCTTCAACTGAGTGTGAAAAGACTACTCAATGTATAGTAAAAACAAAATACATGACTACTCAATTCTTAATAATCAATACCAATGCTTGTCATACGGTTCAAGTTATGTATGAAATGACTACTCAATGCTTGTATAAAACAAAAACTACAATTGGACTTGACTACTTTTTGGGATTTGACAGTTCAATGGTTGATAAAACCAACCACTTGACTCATAATTGTATAAGACAAAATCTACACACACTAGCTAGTACTTGACTCATAATTGAACAAAATATATGAAAATGTAATATAAATTGATTAATTTTTGGATAAAATTAATAATAAAAATTAATTCATTGCAACATAATAAACAAAATACTTGAAATCATAATGCATAATAAACTACTCTACTTTCCACCATATACTTCTTGAATTAGTTCCTCCTTCCACGCTTCTTCAGCTGGTGTAAGTGGCGTCGTTTTTGACATAATGGCTTGCAACATATCAAATTTCATCTTCTTCTCTTGTAATTCGACTTGTTTGTTTTTCCTCTTTTCCTTTTCCCTTTCAAGGTCCAACCTTTGTTGCCATAAATTTGCCTCAAAGCTTCTAACTTCAGTACAAGCCTGTATCTGTTTACCAGTACTTAAAATTGCACTATCATGAGCAATAGCTTTTCCCTTACGCTTAGCCTTTGCTTTTTTTACCCCGTCGAGTCTGGGTATACCTCCTGATGAAAACCCACCAACGGGAACATCTCCTTCAGCTTCACTCTCAGTTCTCGATCTCTTTCCACTTTCACTGCTATCCTCGGTGTCTCCTTCCGAACGCAGTTGACAATCATGTCGTTCCTTTAGTGACAATGCCCATCTGAGTTTCGGCCTCCACTTTGGGTCATTCTTTATCATTTCCCAAGTGTGGGGAAAAACAAAATTGTGTGGTGGTTTGGATGATATATGGAACAACTTCGAGGCCTTTTGAATTCGATCAACTTCGTTGAATCCACTTCCAATTAACGGACCCGCTTCATCATAACAACTTGTCCATAACAGTACATCTGCCGCCATCCTTCTCCAATGGTTCTCCAAACTCTTCGCATATTGGGTGGTAGTATTTCTGGCTGCCTAGCTTGAACCATGTCGTACGCCACAGATATTTGTCGCCAAAGTTCAGCTGCTTTCATGCCCGTACCCACTATCACATTTCCACTGTATTTTAAATATAGCCCAATAAGAGCTTCATCTTCTGCGACTGACCAAATACGACTAGCTTTAGCGAGTTGTTGGTTGGAACCCACCGGCATTCTTTGAGTCGACGGAGGGTATTGAGGTGTCTCAGTCACATTTTCTTCTTGGCTATCATCGTACTGAGAGTTACTTCCTTGGTAGACAGGAGGTGATTGCTCGTAATCAGTGTTTTCAGTTGGAATTTGTGGAGGTATTTGTTGTTGTGGAGGGTTTTGCAGAGAGGTGTTGCTCAATCTTTGTAGGAAAAGTTGAAATTGAGGTTGATTCATGAAATTCTCATCTAAATCATTACAATTTTGAGAAATTATTGAGTAAAAGGGGTTATTGGGATCCATATCTATTTTTTTTTTATTAATTTCAAAAACTAACACAATAATAATAATAATAACACAAATAAAAAATAATAATAATAATAACAAAAATAATGATAACAACAATAATAATTTTAATAACAATACTGCTAAAATAATAACAATAATAATTATACTTCCAATAATAATAATAATAATAATATTTATTTTAATAATAATAATTATAATAATATTAATAATAATAATAATAATAATACTAATATTAAAAGGATGACTAATTATGAGGGAGAAATTGAGAGAAAATGTAAATACAATAAATTTATGTGAATTTTGGAAATATGAAAATATAGGCAAAATGGGTCTCTATTTGTAGGGATTTTTTTTCTAGCCGTTGGTAAATTTTTTTTTATTTTATTTTAAAAGCACAAAATACCCGTTAAAAAAATATAACCGTTGCAATAATCAGGAATTTCCTGATTGGTCCAAGCTACCTGACAGGACGCGTGTCAGCGCCTGATTGGGCGTGCTGACGCGCCCGTCAGGGCTGCAAGTAGTATTTTTTTTTTGCTTTTCCTTTCCTCAAAACGCTGCGTTTTGAGGTAAGGTGAGCAAAAAAAAGTTAATGGAAGATATGCACGTGGGGCCCACTAGTTGTTGATCTGATTTTAATTTTGCCCAAACTTTGATCATAAAATGATTTGCCCATGGGCATTTTTTATTTAGCCCATTGATGGGGACTTTTTTTTTTATTAAAACCCAAAAACTACCCATGGGCATTTTTCTCCCCATTGGTGGCAATGCTCTTACAAGGGATTGAACTTTCAAGAAAATTAAAAGGAGGGGACTACAGTTACGAAATGTAAATGTAGGGGACTGAAACCGGTTGTTTAAGTAAACACCGGTGTGGTAACCTGTTGTAGGGAGTTGGAAGCTACCTCCTTTTCCTATAAAAGTAGTACTTTCATCTTCTTTAATGCCTACACTACCATTTTCAGAAAGCTCCAACTAAAAAAAAATTCCTTTATTCTCTGTTCAGCTCATAAATCACTACATGTATGGAAAAAATAATTAACTTACTGCAACTCAACCTTTTCTGCAAGATCAAATTCAGAGGCACACAAAGGCTCCCTTGGTTGTTTGACAAACCTAGATTTTAGATGCTTGTTTGAAGAAAAAAAAAACAAATTTTTTGAGAACTCAGTGCTTATTGTTCTTCAAATTAAGTTTTTGTCCTAGAAAATCCTCTGTGTTAAATACTTGTATAACGGGTACTTTTGTTTGCAAAACTTTTTCTGTTTCCAATGCACTTAAAAGCTTGTCAGTGATTCAAAAAAAAAATCTTAAAATACATGGAAACCGGTTGTAGGAGGTTACCTTGGCCAGAGTTATAGGCATAGTCCCCTGCTTTTAACTTCCAAAACTGTAGTCCCTTCCTTTTAAATTTCGTGAAAGTTCAGT